TAAGGGCTTCGGTCATTTACTCCAAATATACTGACTGATACTGACTGATAAGTCTATTTTGATTGACGTTTCAAAATAGACTTTGGCCCATTAAATTGTCCCCTCTTCTTCTTACTCTTCGGGAGATGATGCACACGATATGATGCCTGGACCTTGAATCTTCGCGCATACATTTATTTATTTATTGCCAGTTTACAGGCTTGGATCCCACGGAGCGAGGGTACCGTAGAAGCTACGTTAAGAAAGAGTCATTTCAGCCTGATTCTCCGCCTGCCAGTCGGCTACTCCACACAAACACACAATGGGCTGACAATCAGGAACGAGTTATCTCGTCAATTAGCAGCCACCCAAGGTAGAGTCTTTAATGCATCATGACAGCTGCAAATGCGTCACATTGTACATAGTGAACAAGAGCGCTGAGCTGTCGGTCTCACTCTTTATTCTCATTTCCATCGCCCAACCATTTGGCATACTGCTGCTGATATTTCTTATGTCCTCGTCTGCGCCTATCACGTACAAAACCTGGGCCCCCAAACACAAGCTCCAAAATTCACACAAAAGTGATGCAGTGCTCATATCTCACGTGCGTCAGTGTGCCAGAGGTCACATTAAGAAGGTGTCATAGTAGCCAGACTGTAAGACCACCAGGCAACCAATTCACACATAAAAACATTGGATTGACTTTGAAGTCTGACTGCAATCGTCAGTTGGCAACATTCCAAGCCACCGTGCTTGACGCATCATAAGTCTCAGGCTTGGATCACAAATCCAGCAGAGGAGCTCACTGAGAAGGAGCCGAGGATCATACTTCCCTCTCACGTGAAATGTGCCATATACTGACATGTGATGTATGATGATGAGCGTGGCCGTGCGTCATGTATGAGCTGGGAAAGAGTAGAGTGGTTGTGTGATATAGCCGGCGGGGTTCTGCCTTAGGTTATCATGGAGATGCATGTAGCCTAATAGGGTTGTATGGTGGGTAAATGTGCGTTGACAGTGCGGCCGGTTGAGGTGGGTGCAGCTGGTTATGTTGGTGCTCCTAACACTGATTTGCCGATCTAATTGCGATGGATTCACAGGTGACCGACCAGACCGATGCGTTATGTGCATGTGCGGTGGTAATGAGGGCAGGAGGGATTGGAAGCTTTAGAATCAGTTGTGGTGGTGAAGTTACTATTGGCTGTCGCGCCGGTGGAGTGGCGGTTGTTAGCACTGCAGATAGGAGAGTTGTGGGATTATCAGTATCAGGATTATCAGTACTGCCCCAAACTCCGCTTTTACGGATGCGCCTGTGACCGAGTAGGTCCCTCTAGGTCTGAATGTGCTAGGAACGTGGACTCAGTGGAAGTGACGGTCTCTGCTCTGTGTTATTGCTGCAGGCCCTGGTTAGTCAGTCTCGGTGCGATTGATCTGCAAGTGACCGACCAGGCTCACGCGTGAGGTGAATGCGTGATTACAATGGGAGCAGGATATACTTGAAACCTCATTTCCGGGTGAAGGGTAGTGGTGGTGATAGTTTGCGGGCCATCGAAATTGACCCAGTGGTGGTTGAAATGGAGGAATTGGTGTCAGGTGATCGACGTAGGGGTTGTGGCAAAAAGGATGATGCCGATGATCGAGTGTTTCGACAGTGAGATTGGTCGCCA